GTGGCAAATATTCCATGCATATTAAAGCCTTTGTGTCAGCAAATCAAATCGTAAAGATATTGCATATGTGTCTACTTAAACATTTGGTTTTTTGTATTTTCTGAGTGAAGAAAGAAAGAATTCTACAGAAACGCAGACACACACTTGCTTCAAATGTGTTTTCTGGAATAAAACCACTCTGCAATTTTAAGCATGCATCGCTATTTTGTCTTAAGTTCAAATAAAGTGGCAGTCATTGCATAGCAAAACTATACCTTATCCTGACTTAACTGTGCTGATGAAAAACTCAACATACCTTTAATTGCATAATAGAGCGCACTGGTTCCCGAAAGTTGGGTAGTATAAAAACAGGTACTTCTGATCCGAGTAACTGTGCAAATATGGCCCCTATCATAATTTCATATATTTTTTTTATTATTCACGAGAAACTTTCGTCAAGGGTTCTACAGTGATCCCAAGACGTGGAGCCTTTCGTTTGATACCAATTAGTTATCCATTTTCTTATACTTTTGGACAAAGTTACAACTATGCGTAGGAACTATTTTGTTTAACATATGTACTACTTTCTTGTATGTTCTTTGTGACCGGGCCCGAATTATATACCTTCTGGGTGTCAAGCGCAAAATAAAGGAATTAACGCACACACAGTTTTGGAAAATTAGCGCAGCTCTACGTAAGTCTTACTAATAATTGTCCGGAGACATATACAAAAAAGCAAAAACTAAACGAAGAGGAAAATGACCAAACAAAAAACAAAAAAAATCTCCTTCTTTCGTTATTCTATGTTTTTTTATATCAACAATAGTCAGACTCTTTTTCAAATGATTTTGCGACTCTAGAAAAGCCGTTTTCAATATGCAATTGTCTTTGTTCTGTAATATTCTGTCCGGGTGTAATCACTTTGACTGCTTCTTCGGTAGTGTTAACATTTGATTCTTAACTGCAGTGTATATTGATTTTTCAGATCCACTCCGTGTTTTTTCTTTCTTTCTCATAAGACGATTGGCTAAATTGACAATCTCTCTGCATGGTCAACTAAGTGGAGTGTTTCTCCACAGTCCCGTTACATCTGGTACCACACTGACGTCAATTTCGACTTACGACTTTTTTTCAATCACGGAATGGTTTATATACCAGTGTGACTCTGACTTCGACTGAAAACAGATTTTAGCAGTTTAATCGTTTACGATGAAATTACGCTGTTTCTTCGTCTGTTGCCAATACTATTATTGTGACAGATATTTGACATAAAGTTTGGACATAGCTGACGTTACAATTAATAATTGTAACGTCAGCTATGTCCAAATTTTATGTCAAATATTAATAATTGTAACGTCAGCTATGTCCAAAATTTATGTCAAATATCGGTCACAATACTATACTGTGATATAAAATCTACATCTACTCAGATTGACGGCATAGCAAAACACTCTGTAACCAGCTTATTCTACGAAGGCCTGCGCTGAAGAAAGTCCAACGCTAAAATTCTAATTCCTTTGCTAATATACTTTTATTGACTATAATGCCATAATAATTTAAAAAAAAACTCTACCCCTTGCACGTGAAAAGTGATGATTATTTGAACAGCGAATCTTAAAAAGTTTTAAAAAAAAAACGCATTTCATACCGTTCAGTGTTGTGTTGTTGGCTAGCTGTTTTATTGATGTATACCTTGCATCTCCTTTTATTCATATTTTGTGTTTTATGTGTCAAAAAGTTGTTACCTATTCACTAAATATTGAAAATATTTCGCATTTTATAGTTGATGTTTATCATTTAAGAAATCTGTTTCACGGCACCCCCCTTTTCTGAAAAAAACCCCCAAAATAATACAAAAGGCAAACGTAAAACAAAAACACAAAAAATTGTTTTTCAATACATAATACGTAACAAAACAAGCTACTTCTTTCAGAGGTTAGCATACGATATATAGGGTTTGAAACCCTTATATAGTACACAATTTGCCAAATTTCCTCCGAGAAGGTATTGACAAAAATCTGGATCGTTATATACGTATTATATACGTTTGTAGGGTTTTTGCCATTTTTCGATTATTTTGAAGTCGTGATCTGCACAGATTAAAATTAAATAGTCCTAAAAATTTTAAACAACGAATCAATCATAAATGAATCTGTATCATGGTTTTTTCCTGATAACAAACACAAATTTTGGAAAACTTTGAAATATTTCCGTATTATAATATCTTTTTCATGAAATATTTTTACATATAACTTTGCATTGCAGGATTCGTTATCTAACCGCAGTCTAGTTAATACAGTCTAGATCTGTTGGGGAATTTTATAAAGATAAAAAAAAAAGATCTGTTGGGAACTTAGCCCTCGATGGGACTGAGTGCAACCCGTACGCACGTTGAGGCGGCGACGGGTTTAAATCTTAGCTACAACTTGTCCTATATCTCTCCTCGTAATGTTGTAAGATACAAGGGGGATACTAGAGATATACAAATAACTTTAGTATATTAACCTTGTGACATTTTCTTACACGTGTGTGTGTCCCGTCCCATGTCAGCAACGTTGTCGTTAACGATCGTATGTCATATCGTAATGTAGGTCCCCCCCTTTCTCCCCTTATATTTATAGAATTAAGTGTTAATAGCAGATCTTTGTCTCTGTTCAATTTATAGATATCTTTCATGGAATCGAGACAATTAAGAGCGAGTTAAATAGACATTTTTTTTTTTTTTTTGGGGGGGGGGGCATATTTGTCGTTGGGCTGCTGTTCCATTGACGTATAATCCACGATTCTAGTTCTATTTCACACTTAATTTTCCGTGTATATTACTGGCGGAAAATAAATATAAATCTGATATCACTAATGTGACATATTGTTAGGACACCTGTCTATTGTTGAAGATTACATGTCTCCCTCAAGATGTCTTTTTGTTATTTCTGTAGTTTGGTTGCTGTCGCATTGACGTATACCTCACACCTCCTTTTATTCATGCAGCACTTACTTTTCCGTGTGTACTGATGGCTGAATTTTTTTTTATAAATCTGATAGGCAAAGCACTGCCAGTTTTTCTTTGTATCAAATATAGTGGATTGATTTGATTGTTTTCTGCTAAACGTCCAGTGGCAAATATTCCATGCATATTAAAGCCTTTGTGTCAGCAAATCAAATCGTAAAGATATTGCATATGTGTCTACTTAAACATTTGGTTTTTTGTATTTTCTGAGTGAAGAAAGAAAGAATTCTACAGAAACGCAGACACACACTTGCTTCAAATGTGTTTTCTGGAATAAAACCACTCTGCAATTTTAAGCATGCATCGCTATTTTGTCTTAAGTTCAAATAAAGTGGCAGTCATTGCATAGCAAAACTATACCTTATCCTGACTTAACTGTGCTGATGAAAAACTCAACATACCTTTAATTGCATAATAGAGCGCACTGGTTCCCGAAAGTTGGGTAGTATAAAAACAGGTACTTCTGATCCGAGTAACTGTGCAAATATGGCCCCTATCATAATTTCATATATTTTTTTTATTATTCACGAGAAACTTTCGTCAAGGGTTCTACAGTGATCCCAAGACGTGGAGCCTTTCGTTTGATACCAATTAGTTATCCATTTTCTTATACTTTTGGACAAAGTTACAACTATGCGTAGGAACTATTTTGTTTAACATATGTACTACTTTCTTGTATGTTCTTTGTGACCGGGCCCGAATTATATACCTTCTGGGTGTCAAGCGCAAAATAAAGGAATTAACGCACACACAGTTTTGGAAAATTAGCGCAGCTCTACGTAAGTCTTACTAATAATTGTCCGGAGACATATACAAAAAAGCAAAAACTAAACGAAGAGGAAAATGACCAAACAAAAAACAAAAAAAATCTCCTTCTTTCGTTATTCTATGTTTTTTTATATCAACAATAGTCAGACTCTTTTTCAAATGATTTTGCGACTCTAGAAAAGCCGTTTTCAATATGCAATTGTCTTTGTTCTGTAATATTCTGTCCGGGTGTAATCACTTTGACTGCTTCTTCGGTAGTGTTAACATTTGATTCTTAACTGCAGTGTATATTGATTTTTCAGATCCACTCCGTGTTTTTTCTTTCTTTCTCATAAGACGATTGGCTAAATTGACAATCTCTCTGCATGGTCAACTAAGTGGAGTGTTTCTCCACAGTCCCGTTACATCTGGTACCACACTGACGTCAATTTCGACTTACGACTTTTTTTCAATCACGGAATGGTTTATATACCAGTGTGACTCTGACTTCGACTGAAAACAGATTTTAGCAGTTTAATCGTTTACGATGAAATTACGCTGTTTCTTCGTCTGTTGCCAATACTATTATTGTGACAGATATTTGACATAAAGTTTGGACATAG